GGACCGCTTTGATAACGGAGAGAGGCTTCTCACATTGTGCTAAGGCAACTGTCTGTTTCTTTCGACCACTAACTTCAGGCGTACGAGGAAGCGTTTCGCAACGTGGCGTCTCCCTTATCCAACACAACCGTGGCAATTAGCTTCAGATGGCGCGGCAGCATACTGGACTGCAGGTCCTTATGGTCCACCTTCGTTGACTCAGATCATGCTCTGGTCTGCGCGAAAATCCGTATGTTTTGCAGGATCCTGAAACACGAAGCACCGCAAGATTCATGTAAACAGGTTAACTGATTCCTCTGTCCAGGAGAGTTATCAGTCTTCACTGGCATATGCACTCAATTGCAATCCACCGCAAGAAGTGGAACACACTGGACTTGTATACGGAAGGCAATGACCATTTCCGGACAGTCATGCTGCGGCCTAACTCGACGCCCTTTGAAGTCCTGGACCTCTGCTCGTTCTCTGGAGCTGTTCGAACGCCGCAAAGGTATCCCGCGGAATCAGATTGCAACGAGCGGCGCCGTTCTGCCAACCGGCTGCTCAAGCAAAGCCTACGCAAGGATCGCGAGACATGGTGGTCTGAGCGTGCTTTAGAGATGGAGACCGCTGCTCACTCTGGCAACACTCGCAGGCTTTTCCAACTCATTCGGTCCACTGGCCTCAGGAAGCCTGGTGTCAGTGAGGTCATTTGTGAGATGGATGAGTCTCCGAGCACCAACCAACAGAGGCGTATGGACCGCTGGGCTGAGCACTTTCACTCCCAGTTCAACTGACCTCCACCATCCATCAGTACATGCAGTACACCTTGTTGTCCACCTTGGCTCGTCCCACTAAATCCACCCAGCGAAGCAGAACTCTGCCTCGAGATTCGACGCTTGAAGCGCTTCAAGGCCGCCGGTTTAGACGGACTTCCTCCGGAACTATTCAAGTACGGCGGTGTGGCGATTATTAACCAACTGACCGCGCTGTTCGCCAAAATTTGGCATGAACAGAAAGTGCCTTCTTCTTGGGGCGAATCAGTTATTGTCCCGATTTTCAAGAAAGGCGCTCGCACTTCATGTGCAAATCATCGCGGGATTAGTCTTGTTTCGGTTGCCTCTAAGCTATTGGCATCCATTCTGCTTCGCAGACTATCCCCAGTACGTGAATCATACTATCGTGAAGAACAAGCTGGTTTCCGTTCTGGCCGCGGATGCGTGGATCAAATCTTCACACTTCGCCAGCTCCTCGAACATCGCCACATTTATCACAGGCCTACTATCATTGCATTTCTGGACATACGTGCCGCTTTTGACTCCGTTGATCGACCTGCTTTATGGCGTTGCTTACTAAAGAACGGGGTGCCAGAGAAATATACTGCCATCTTACGTGAACTGTCAATAACGGTATGCCACAGGGCTGCCTTATGTCCCCATTCCTATTCAATTTTGCAATCGAGGCATGATTTATTCTTAACGAAGCAGTGCTGCATCGCTCCTAGCATGTTATGAGTAACTAACTGCCAACAAATTCGGTTCCTCCTAAGCCTTTCCAGATATTTAAGCAGAACCCTAGTGAGGCTGACAGGCCCATAAATGACAGGGACTGTTATAGGCCCTTTTCGTATCGCTACAACAGCTGCCTCTTTCCAGTCTTGTGGTAGCCTACCTCACCAAAGTAACATGTTGAACAGGTCTAAGACAGAATGCTGGAGTACTTTAGTGAGCGGCTTGACAATGGCAAAACGCACATTATCAGGTCCAGCCGATTTGTATGGGTCTAAGCGTGCCAAAACATCAAAGACCTCCGATGCAGTCAAGGCATTATACTACCAACTTGAGGAGGCTGCGAGAGGACAGGATGCCCAGTATACACACAACATGCGTCTCGAAAGAAGCGCAGCGACTTCTCCGCATAGTCTGTAGTATGACAACCGTCATCAGAAATAAAGTTACCGACCTTCTCTCTCAAGGAAACCTTCGATTGAACATAACTATAATGCATCTTCGCCCTTGCTTTTGCATTCTGGGATAATCTAAGCTCCTACCGAAAACCACGGTAGTCAGCAAGGGGTGAGAAGGCAGTGGTTATTTTTACCTATGAAAGCTTCTGTATGTGACAAGTACAACAGTAAGGGCATCAGCAGTACGCCGGTACTCAGTACCGACGCTTCGTTGTCGCGCAATCACCACCGGTCGTAAGTGGGTTAAGGATACGGCGGTCACCCGGTCCCTACGCAGGGAATCTGACAAGTGACCATATTCGATTACATCTAAGGTCGAAGCAGAGTAGCCAATGCGTCTTCGCTTCGGAAAGCTAACACGCTGAACAAAAGCGTTCACCTGTACCCATTCCACCAGTTCCCCCTTCAGTGCATCGACGGTGCTAGCATCATTCTCCCCATCTACAGGCGTGAGGTTCAAAACACCGTTGATCACAAAGTTCGGTGCAGCTGCCGCAGCCTGCTGAGCAAGCTACTAGGTACCCTATCCTACACTAGCGTAGAGGAGAAACTATGGTACACAGGTATATATAACTGGCCCTCCAATCTTAGAAAGTATGATACAAATTGTACATTCGATGTCCTCATGGTGAAGGAAGTTCTTATTAAGCAAAACACACGCTCAATAACCTGATTTCCAGGACTATCTACTCTATACTCGGATAAGTCAATCAGTAACACTCGATCGGTCTGAGAAAGCCACGTCTCAGAGACAGTAACTACATCAGCAAGCTTGCGGCTTACAGTCAATACTTCCAGTTTATTTCTTATCCTGCGGTAGCTGGTATATCACCTTCAAACCCATTCGTTGTTCTTACGTCCCTGTTACATTTGTTCTGCAGTGCCTTTCAGGCGTAAAACCTGGGGTGCTGTCGCCAATAGTGGAAGTTTGAACATTGACTCGGTGCTCTTGGAATTCAGTTCACTACTGTTCTCTTCGAATATAAGCTTATTCGCGCATATCGCAACTTCTCCACTTTTTGGTTCCCGACGCTTTAATCGCTTCTCTGCTTCCATTTTTTTATTTCACTTGGTCCGTGCGGCGATGACTGCTAGCGCAGGTCATGAGGTTAGTAAGTTGTTAACCGTGGTGCGATTCGCGAGCAGATCTGGTCCTTCTAGAGTGTAGTTATCGCGTACAAACATTTTAGCTCAACGAAGTGCTCCAGAAAAGGTATCGCGGAAAATTAACCTACTGCTCCAGTCACACCTGTGTTCCTTCGAGCATGGGGATCCAGTTCACGAAGACACCGACAAAGCCAGACTCCTGGCGCGGCAACATTATTCAGTGTACTCGACAACACCGTCATTTTCTGACAAACTTGTATGTACTCCCCCTTCTCTGTTAGAGCATGTCGATATTAACACTGACGTTGTGTTGAAACTTCTCTGTGAGTTGGATCCTTACTCGTCGCCTGGTCCTGACGACTTGCACCCCTTGTTCCTCAAGACTGGCCCAGTACATTGCTTCACCTACCACGCAAGTCTTCCGTCGATCGTCTCAGTCCGGACTTCTCCCGACCACTTGGAAGATGAGCATCATCAAGCCCATATACAAAGAAAGGAACCGACAAGACGCAGCTAACTACCGGTCCATTTGCCTTACATCGATAGTGTGCAAAATCACGAAACGGGTCCTGAAACCGGCACTTCGGCCTCATCTCGAGAGGTTGGATCTGATATCCGGTGCCCAGCACGGTTTTCGCAAAGCTCGCTCCTTCTCTACCAACCTGCTTATGGCTAGAGAAAAATGGGCAAATTCATTGGATGTTAACAAACGCCTGGGTGTTGTGTTCCTGAATCGCAGTAAGGCTTTTGATAAGGTCCCGCATGAACAACTTCTCTTCAAACACCGAGGAATTGGTGTCAATGGAAACTTCCTCCTGTGGATTTCCGATTTCTTCCACAGTCGTTCCATGCTGGTGACAGTGAACGAAACGTATTCCGATCCGGTACATATGACCAGCAGTGTTCCACAGGGCTTCGTCCTCGATCTCCTGCACAATTGGTCGATTCAGTGGTGCTTACCCATTAATCAAGACTAATGTGCCGTCTTGCCTATCGGCGCTCCTGAACCAATCGGCGATTACCACATAGGTGGTTTCTTGCTCAAAAATGTCACTTCCAAAAGAGATCTAGACGTGATGGTTTCCCCAGACTTAAGATCCCCTCAGGACACCATGAAGACGGTTGCCACTGCCTACAGGAGGTTTCACGCCATCCGTAAAGCTTTCTGTCACCTGACACCGGAGCTTTTTAGACTCCTGTTCACCTCGCGCGTGAGCCCGATTCTAAAATACGGCTTCCCTGCTGCCTACCCACTTTCAAAACTTGAGCGCAACATGATTGAATAGGTCTAACGGCGTGGATTGATGTTTGTCTCCGAGTTACGTGAGCTGCCTTACACCCTTCGGCTGCGACATTTGAATATGCTTTCTATGGATTACCGTCGCCGGCGCGGGGATTTGATTTTTACCTGTCGTATTCTAGGGGGGGGGAGCTAGGAAGAGAGTTGCAGGAGTTCTTCCATCTCAACGTTGGGAATTTGACTAGAGGCCATCGAGAGAAAAGATTCAAACCACAGAGGCTCAAAGTACGGTCCATTCTTGCTCTATCCACTCGCGTTGCGAATAACTGGAACCGGTTACCGACGCCCGTCGCTGGTGCGCAGACGGAGGATTGCTTCAAACGACTACTTGATTCCCATCTGTAGAATATGTCGGGATCGTGTTGCTTCAGCTAAGAGTGCGCTGGCCTCTCCGGAGTTTCCGTTGCGAGCACAAGAGCATACCAGCAATGATCGGGAAGCGATGGAGCTGACAAGGGATCTCCCTCCTGCTCTCTACTACCCAATGAACCAATGAACGAGCTGTGCAGTCATCAGTTGGGTGACAGTAGTAATCGTGAGACAAGACGAGGGCAGATCAACGGACACCAAGGATGAGGAATAAAAACGTGTCTAAATACCGTGTAAAAGTTAATGACAGCGGAAAGACAGTTGTTAGCAAATAATGCTTACCATCAGAGCTGCCGATAATTGCTCCTATGACGCCTTTATGGGAAAGCAGGCGTTTGAAAGTTTCTTCCACCTCGGACTGTGAAAGAAAATGAAAGATGTAATTTTTGACCGGCATTTCGGGACACAACCGCAAAGCGTTTAACGCATAACACAATAAATGTTACCCTGCCTTCTTTCGGAATTCCTCGACTCTAGCAAGAGTAAAAGGTGGAAGTGAATGGTAAGTGAGAACGCAATGAGACGAAAACAAGGCAGAAAAAGCTCACCATATCGACGAGAAGTCAAGAGGGAACGTAAAACACAGCGGAGGGTATAATGTTGGAAACAGGGTAGCGTGTTGACAAACGGTAAGGTGGAGCCGTTTTACTATTGAATGTCGTTCAAGTTACCTATGCGAGGCGAAAGCTTCCAAATATTGTCTTGAAAATGTACATAGTAATTAATAAAAGGCATAAACCTGCCACCATAAATTGTTTCCCAGTAGTGTGGTTCACTTTGCAGTTTGTCAGGACTTTTTAAAAAGCAATCAGCTTAATGCAAAACTATGTTACGTACATGTTATGCTAGGTACTATAGAATATAAATTATTATATTTAGAGATATCTGAAAGGGATATTTATGTTCTTAGTAAACTTACAAGGCCTTTATCAATGTATAGGAAACAGGCATTTCCGTGCTGCTAGTCGCAGTTACCATGCGTCAAATGTTCCGACTTTCTGTAGACTGCTGCAGATAACGATCCCGAAGCACAGCGGCAGCGACGTTGTCACGACAACTTCGTTCAATTGAACAATTTTATAAACGGATATGCCTTTACGTTATGCAAACTATGTAGAATCTATATTTGTAGGTTTTTTCGGGGATTTATAACCATGAGCATTTGCACCACGGTGCAGCTTCATATGGGATAGGAACCATATGAAAATAGGTTGAGTGCTCTTGCTTATGTTGACAGCCGATCCAGCTAACGAAAATATTCTACTTGAGCTTGATGGATGTGAAACGAAACAAAAGAACCACTCCCTGGTTTACAACTTACGGATTAGGTTGGTTGGGTGGCATCTGGGATACTATTCCGTAAGCAATTACACGTAAGACCCTTGTCAATTACGGGGGAGTATAGACGTTGGAGTCGACTGAACCTAGCGATTATTGCGACTGCTACGAACATAGGAAGCGAAACAAACAAGGCGCGAAACTCTGCGGTGATTTACCAACACAACTATGCGTCATCGGAATTGCCATCGTTTCGGATGGTAAAACAACGGTAAAATCGAATGTTGCAACATACTGGAAGAGCTTTTTCTGGTACTCTGAAAGAACCTTCTGCTAGAAGGCTGAAGGATGGAAGCCTTCGATGGAGCTGTTTTTGGGGGAAGTCGGTAGGTAAGGCTGGTCGCGAATGGCAGAGGCTTGACACGGGATACCAATTTGTGGTGTGTAACAGCGTTAGCTGGGTCCAGTCTATTTTGAGTAATTATTTTGTTGATCGTGTGTATCTGAATGCATCATCAGTGGGCCGTCGGGGAGGGCTGGTCGGACTGGAAAAGCACATTTTACTTCAGCAAATTTGCCGACCGGACATTCCGGCCGCTGCAGAACCGACGGTGCGGTTGGGAGGTGGCCTTGCCCTCCGCACTCCAGTTCGCGGTCCTCTTCTGACGAATAAATTCAGTGTCCTCGTCGTCGACGCCAAGCTTTTACTGACCAATCCGTTTTGACCGTCTGCGGTCGAGGGCAACTGACTGGTCCTTGGTTGAGGAAGAATGTATAGAGCCGGCTGACGCGTCTCTTGAGGGTTGCCTTGGCGGTTCCGGCGGCTGAGCTTCTGGCTGATAAAATTCAGAGGGGGTAGTCAAGGGTCGGCGGTAGTGGAGTGAAGCCGGAGAGGGAACAGAGGACGCATGCGTAAATCAAGTACGTTTTTAAGTTTTCACAATGTTGGGCTTGTTGTAGCTTTTGCAATACTTTTGTGGACAAGTCGCACGATTATAAGTAAATGCGAAAATTGCATGCTACGTAATAGAAAACGTTTAAAAAGCAGTACAACGGCCTGAGGTTTGACCTGCCTACCGCGACGTTCGGTTGCCTTGGGTTGTGAGGGGGTAGGTTAAGAGTCATGGGAAACGGAGGATTACAAGTTATGTAGGTCTCGGGAAGTCACCGCATGTGCAAGGGCTTCTATGATAGCGTCTGTACGGGTTGCAAATTGGTCTTCAAAGAAAGTCAGTTAGTGGCGGTCCATGGACACCAGTGTACGCTGGCCATTCTGGTCAAAGTGTAAGGTTTCGGAGTCCGTTTCATTACCCTGAAATGATCAGTGTGGGATCGCCTGAGAGTGCGCCGCACTGCGTCGGTGCGGAGGAAGCCGTGAGTGCTGGTGGCGTCCGCTGTGCATTTGCACATCTCCGATCTGCTCACGGGGCGGATTCGGGCGTAGTGAAGGCATGTGTTGAGCTAGGGAGGACGCAACCTTTAGCGGAGGTATACCCGACGATGCGGGAGGTTAAACGAATGCTGCTGCCAACGAACGTTCCGCAGTAAACCAGCTCTGCTGGTGAATAGCGCAATTAAGCTTTGGCGTTGCTACGAAGGCCTAAGCGTACTAGCAAAACGTTATCGCTGCAGTTCGGTTAGAAGAAGGCGCAGAGCGAGGCTCTTAGCTGTTTATGGAAGCGTTCAACCAACCGTTGGCTGCTGGGTGATACCCAGTGTTATAAATGCGGCGACAGCCTAAAAAGTTGCAGAACGCATGGAATCGTGAAGATTTGAAAAGCGTTCCTCGGGCATTTGTAACGGTGGATAGGCTTCTGTAGTGCGTGACCCACCGATCTAAGCACGTCCGGTTAACAGTCGCAGCTATGCAGTCTGTTACGGAAATGGTTTCTCTATCTGGTCGACACACGTAAACATTTATCTGAATCCGCGTGAAGGAGGCAATGGACCTACTAATTGTACGTGTACATGCGCGTACAGTGTCCGGGGCGGGAACTGAACCAAGATGACTGCGGTTGTGACGATGTATTTTAGAGCGCTGGCATTGAAGACAGGCGCGAGCCCATGTACGAACATCTTTGTTTACGTGTGGCCAAATGAAACGTTCGGTGACCAATTTCAGAGGTGCACGGGTACCGGATGTGATAGTGAGTGCAGTGCGTCAAAGAATATGCGTCAGAAGGAGACGGGCTTCAGTGGTCTAGAACTATTTGTGGAGGTGTCACAGAGGTTGTACATGCAACGAAGTGGTCTGCACCTTGCTTTGTAGGTCTAAGCTTCAGCCTAAGCCGATGCCGTGGTGGCAAGGTCAAAGGTAGGTGAAAACTGTAGCGAGCGTCGGCGACGGACTTGCCCACACCTGAGGCGTGTCGTACGTCAGCAGTGAACTGCGTGAAAAAACTACGTGTCTAGTTTCTCTTGGCGCGTAATTGTCGGAGGCAGAGTTGAAGGCCAATATGAGGGGCATGTAGGCCTTGAAAGCTTTGCCTTCCAGTGTGTGCCAGAAGTGACGCATGGGCAGGTAAATGGCGAGCAGTTCTCTGCCAAACAAGCTGTAGCGGGATTTCGCTGGCTGCGTGCGTATTGAGTCGAACCCCAGGGGTTGTCATTGTTAACCAACGTGTCCTTGAATCACGGCTCCTACCGCGTAGTCTGAACCATCCCTCCCAATAGGTAGGGCTGTAGTCGATTCGGTGTAAGCGAGAAAAGCCCTGTTGGAGTTAGCATCCTGGAGCTCGGTGAAGGCTGTCTGCGCTGTGCATGGATAGCAAGCTTCCGTTCATTCCCTCTGAGTATGGCAGTTAGAGGATTGTAAGTGGAGCGCAGCACGGCAGTGCTTGAACGAACAGGGGTTTAGAAATTCCTTGATTGCGTAGATCTTAGCCGGGAGGACTTCGATACCAGCTGATGAAATGTGGTGGCCTAGGAATGCTAACGTTGCCTTTCCTAGTTCGTTCTTAGTCATGTTGACGTTGATACCGTGATGGGTAAAGGGCCGGAAGAAATTTCGAAGGTGACCGATTTGCTCGGTTCCGATGAACCAGCCACCAAAATAGCATCGAGGTAAAAATGAGCGAAGTCTAAGCCACGAGTGTCAGCGTGGAAAAAGCCTTGGAAATTTTGTGCTGCTTTGCACAGTCATGGCATTCTTGAAAATTCAAACAGGCCGAAATCATTGATAACGGGCGTTTTAGGACCGTCATTTTTTCTACTAGTATCTGGTGATAGACGCGAAAACCGTCTCAACTTTTGGCATGTGGTGAGGTGCTGTATGTGTGGGTGGTGATATCTACCTGGAGAATCAAACAACTTCTACTTGGTGCCAGCTGGGTGGTCCGGGTTAAGCACGGTTAAGAGAATCGCACGGCGGCAGTGTTCCAGGACGTGGTGGGTTTTCGGCTGACAAACGTTCTCGCAAGCAAAAGCCGCAAAGTTCCGGTTAACAACCATGCGACGTGGCGAATGTCTGTCTATAAATCATATGCATGGCCTCTTCCGCTACCGGAGGATCCTCCATACCCAACCTCCAGCCAAATCGAAGCGCCCCGTTGATCCTTTCATATGATGGCGACCACAGCAACCAAACTCACTAATTCAGTCACGCTTCACAAGTTCACACACAGTGCCCAATAACAGGCACACGTATACATATACTGACACCCAAATACAGCATGTTACGGGTTATCATGCCATATGTCATAAAACTACCGACCACAATAAAGACAGCCTACAAGTTCTCACACTACGCTACAGCA